AAACCGCTTGAACGCTAAGTGGGCGTGATGTAATCCCCACGCATAACTACTTTCCCGTCAAGTCTGCATACTCGTCTGCACAGTTCAGATAGTCCATAGGATTACGAAGCATCTAACTAGACATCAAAAGTTCATTTGCCTGGATTGCCGGAAACACAATCTGTTTTCTGCTACGATCGTACCGGACCAAACATAAAAGCAAGTCATACTGTTCTTCCAGAGATCGGCACCACAGAAGTCTAGATAAGAAAATAATTTAAAAGTGTTTTCTGGAGATAACGACACGTCATTGGTCTTCCTGAACCATTCGTACCACAGTTGCGTGCAGACAGTGACAGATTTACAGTCGGCCTTCGGTCGATAGAGGACAGAGCGATTTTTCTGAGGTTACAACACCAACTGCAACGCCTGTATTACCAGTAGCCTTGCACTAAATTCTGGAGACTACCTATTACTGTCCTGACACTTTGTCTGAGACGACTGTACATGATTTTTAGCAGTCTATCATCCACTTAGCCTCATCAATTGGGTATACACCTCTTTGAAAGCACATTTAACATCACTTAGCCATCTGCTTGAAAGATGGCTTCTCAAATACCGGTCAGTGCTGTTTTTTCAAATGTAGCTCGTTCTGTCAGACCGTCATATAAAATCTCAATGTGAGGCAAGATACTGGTGGTGATGATAAGTCGATCCTTCCTAATTGCATTAAGAATCTCGAAAGTTAACTACAATTGAAAAACCCAGAATTTAAATATTAGCTCTCCGCCTTGTCAGCCGTAGTCGGAGTTTGCCAGAGCATAGAACCTTTCATAAACATGTTCTCTTCGTTAAATTACGCGACTGCTAGTATACGATGGCGGTTGGGAGGGTTCGATAGCGGATCCGTTGTGAAGACCGGAGATGAGGTAAGCCGCAGGTGGATGACTTCGACGGATCCGCACCCCCTGGTCCGCACAACAAATGACCAAGATTTGGACCGACAATACAATGAGGGACGTAGAAATGGTCCCAGTAGGTGCGACGACTGCCAACAATAGGGTCTGCCAGCGCACCGCCTAAATGTTGGCATTCGTTATTGCGCAAGACAACGCCTGCCAGAATCCCATCTGGCCCCTGTGTTGGTCCGCGCATCTACGACGTGGCCCGTTTAGGGGGCAATACACACGACAGTTCGACCGTCGATTTCGACGATGTCCACCGTGTACCCCACAGCTGCAGCAGCAACGGTGGGAGCAGGGACGATGACTTACGCAGGGGTTTATAGTGCCAGTAGACTTGCGTAGCATCTACCTACACTCTCTCCTCCTCCTCCTCCTCCTCCTCCTCCTCCTCCGCCTGAGCCCGGTTTCAAGACAGAGTCAAGAAGACCGGAGACAAGGGAGGCTGCAGGTGGATGGCTCGGACGGATCCTCACCTTGGCGTTCCACCACACCCCCTGGTCCACACAACAATAACCAGGATTTCAACCAACAACAGAGATTTGGAGACTGGCACGACCGAAGCCGCACCTAGGCGTACCGCCAACGCCTGGCTCGGATCCCACACTGTGGTGGGAGTGCCATAAAGGCCACATTAAAAAGGAGCCATTGCAGCCTGACTCTCAGACCGCCTCCAGTCAAGGAGGAGGTCCAAGTTACCCCGTCAGTTGGCAACCTTCCAAGCCACGGCTTTTAGCGCGCCGTGATAGCTTCAAGAGCGTCAGATTGTTTATAGTGAGGAGAAAGTGCGCTGAGTCGTCGACCTCACTCTCCCTTCGCACTCCAACATCCCAGCCGCTGTCCGAGCAGGTCAGCAGACTGGAGTGGGGGATGGGCGCGGTGGCTGTCATGGTCGACTGATCATGACTGCGCGCGCCACGGCACGACCTGGCCCCCCATACACACAACACCAGGATTTCACACAACGGGGGTTGAACGGCGTGTCTCTCACTTGCGTGAGAGTGCCGTGGAAGGTGCTGTTTCAGCCCGTCCCCAGCCCACCAGTCCGCCACTCCACGCAAAACACACAACGCGACGAACTGCGTGAACCGAGAGCGGGCGTCAATCAGCAACCTTTTTATCCACGACGCTTGACGTATCGGGATAGTCTCGGACTCAGGTCACCCGTGCAGCCGAAGCCGCATGGGGACCGAGTCGAGATGCACACTTCCCAATTGCGTGGAAGGTGGCAGTTGGTGCATGCGGTGAGTGAGTGTTAATGTGTGGTGGTGGTGATGGTGGAGTAAGGTAGGTAGTGTGTCAATGTGTGGATGTGAGGTGTAACCGGCGGTTGTCTACCGCAGGTCGTTGTGGATGCGCATGTGACCGAGTAGGCCCATGTGAGGCCTGAAGGTGCGAGGGCAATGTGGGCAGTTGAGACGAGCGTTGTGGCTGTAGGTTGGTGCTCCAGGCACTGGTTCGCCAGTCTCTGTGCGACGGATTCGCAAGTGACCGACCAGGCCGATGCGTGAGGTGAACGTGCGTGGGCAGTGTGGGCATGAGAGGTCGACGTTGTCGCTGTCAGCTGTAGAGGAAGCGGTGGTGGTGGTGGTGGTGATGGGCGCGTGTGGCGATGGAGCGAGGGTGGTGCTGGGCATGGTGGATGTGTTGGATGTGGTGGGTGTGTCGGAATTGTGGTCAATTCCGCTCTCGTGAATGCGCATTTGGCCGAATAGACCCATGCGATGCGTGAAGGTGCGAGGGCAGTGTGGGCAGTGGAGGCGAGTGCGATGGGTGTAGGTTGGTGCTCCAGGCACTGGCTCACCCGTCTCTGTGCGATGGATTCGCAAGTGACCGATCAGGCCGATGTGCGAGGTGAAGATGCGGTCGCAGTGAGGGCAGGTGTTGTCTTGATCCTCATCGCTGGAGTCGGGAGAGGTGGGGGTGGTGTCTGTTGTTGTGTCGCGGTTGATGATGTGCGAGACGGCCGCCTGAGCGGCCGCCGTTGGGGCAGTGGTGGAGGAGGAGGATGAGGAGGAGGAGGAGGAGTAGGAGGAGGAGGAGGAGGAGGAGGATGGAATTAGTGGTTCAGAAGAATTGTCAGAGTTAGTTGGCAGCAGAGAGGACGAGGAAGAGACGGGTGGAGGGACGATGGTTGGTGCAGTTCGAGAGGCGCAGTTGATCCGAAGATGTTCAACAAGTCCGATTCGAGCCCGGAATGTCCGTTGACATCGAGGACACGTTGGAAGCGGTTGTGCGGCGGCGATGCGTACTAAGCACAGTTGGGATTTACGGGCTTCGCGTTTCGCTCTGGCGGCAGCAATGCGATTGGCTTCGCATATAGCAGCGTCCGTCTTCACTGTTCTCCTCCAGGTCGGACGATCGTGTGCTAGCTCTTCCCAGTTGGTCGAGTTGATTTGCAGGCGCTTCAGGGAGGATTTCAGGGTATCCTTGTAACGGCGAATTTGGCCTCCTTGACGGCGAGAACCCGTCGCGACGTCTCCGTAGAAGAGTCGTTTGGGTAGTCGCTCGTCGTCCATGCGCACCAGGTGACCGCTCCGGCGCAGCTGCATTTGTCTCAGCATGGTGTAGATGGTGACGATTGCCGTCCGTTCCAGCACATCAGTGTCGGGGATGCGATCCTGCCAGTTCAGCCTCAGGATGCGACTAAGGCAACTGAGGTGGAAGTGGTTCAGACGGCGTGCCTGCCTCGTGTACACCGTCCACGTCTCCGCTCCATACAGTAGCGTCGGCAGGATGACGACCTTGTACATCTTCAGCTTCGTGCTCAGCTAAAGACCGTGGCGATTCCAAACTGTGCTTTGGAGTCGACCGAAGGCTTGACTGACTTTCGAGATCCTGTTGGCGACTTCGTCTTCGATCTTGGTTTTGCGGGAGAGAGTACTGCCCAGGTACGGGAAGTTCTCCACCACTTGCAGTTGAGTTCCGTTCACGCTGATTTGCGGCGCGTTGGGGGCCGCGGCTGAGTTGGGTGGCGGTTAGTGCATCACCACCGTCTTCTGCGTGTTAATGACCAGACCGAAGTTCTCGCAGGCGGCGGAGAACAGGTCCATGCTGCGTTGCATCTCCTCTTCCGAGGTGGTGTTCAGGGCGCAGTCGTCGGCGAAGAGAAGTTCGTGAACGGTGGTTGTGGATACGCGCGATTGGAAGTGCATCCGTCGTTGATCCAGAAGGTGACCGTCCGTCCTGTAGGCGATTCGGATCTCCGGGCCTTCGTCGCGGTAGGCGTCCATCAGCATGGCAGAGAACATAAGGCTGACGAGGGTTGGTGCCAGCACGCATCCCTGTTTCACTCCGTTGGTCACTGCGAATGCCTCTGAGACAGCACCGTTGGCCGTGACTCGCGCCATCATACCGTCGTGCAGCTGGCGCACCATCTGAGTTAATCGCTCCGGACAGCCGAATTTCTGCATGATCTTCCACAGTCCTTCACGATTCACCGTGTCGAAAGCTTTCGTCAGGTCAACGAAGGTAGAGTACAGGTGGGTCCGCATCTCCTGACACTTCTCCTGAAGTTGACGGGCGGCGAATATCATATCCGTAGTCCCACGATGACGACGGAAGCCGCATTGGCTTTCCGGCAGAAGGCCCTGTTCCAGATGATTATTCAGACGCTTGAGGAGGATGCGGGCGAAGATCTTCCCGGCGATGTTCAGCAAGGAGATTCCATGGTGATTGTCGCAGATTTGGCGGCTCCCTTTTTGCTTGTACAGATGCACGATGGTTGCGTCCTTGAAATCTTGCGGGACTTCAACTTGACGCCACATCTCCTGGAAGAGCGCATCGAGGTGGTCCATGAGTTGGGGACCTCCATGCTTGTAGACCTCAGCAGGAATTGCGTCCGATCCGGGTGCCTTCCCGCTGGAGAGCTGCTGCACGGCCCTGATGGTTTCCTGGAGAGATGGCGGGAGGTCGAGGTCCACGTTGGTCTCCACTTGTGGCAGGCGGTGGATGGCGGCGTCGGAGATGGTGAAGGGGCGATTGAGGACGCCTTGGAAATGCTCGGCCCATCGCTGTAGGATTTGCGTCTTCTCAGTCAGGAGAGTGCTACCGTCGGCGCTGAGGAGAGGAGCAGTGCCCTTCGTCGGCGGACCGTAGACAGCTTTGATCGCAGAGAAGAAGTTCTTCCATTCGTTGCGGTCCGCGTAGCCTTGGATCTCCTCAGCTTTGCGAGCAGTCCGGGCGTCCTGCATCTCGCGCAGTCGTTGCTAAAGCTGGCGGCGACTGCGGTAGAAAGCAGCTTTGTTGTCCTCAGTGGGGTGATCTACGTAGGCTTTGTGTAGGCGGTTCTTCTCGGCGAGCAGATTTCTGAAGGCGGCGTCATTGTCGTCGAACCAGTCCTGGTGTTGGCAACATTCAGCTTACCTGGGGGTTGCTTACCTTGTGGTCTCCTGCGAGACTGTAGGCGAATACGCATCTTCGAGATGACGAGGCGATGGTCGGTCCACCCATCAGCTCCCGCGATCGCCTTCGTCACCAGCACGTCCCGGTGATCTCGCCTCCGGACGAGGACATAGTCCAGCAGGTGCCACTGACGCGACCGAGGATGCCTCCAGGTGGCCTTCTCTCGCTCCGGCAGACAGAAGAAGGTGTTCGTCAGGATGAGGCGGTGTTCTGCGCAGGTACGGAGGAGCATCAGGCCGTTGTCGTTTGAGCCGCGGAGACCATGGAGACCCAGCACTCCTCTCCAGACAGTATGGTCTGTGCCGACGCGGGCGTTGAAGTCACCAAGGACAATCAACTTGTCCGCCTTCGACACAGCCACCAAGAGGGCGTGCAGGTCCTCATAGAATTTGTCTCTTGCGGCGGCGTCGGGGCTGCTCATCGACGGAGCGTAGGCGCTGATGATGGTGGCGAATTTGCCCCCTCCCCGGAGAGGCAGACGGAGGCTCATCAGGCGATCGTTGATGCCCTGCGGCAAACAGGGCAGTCGTCCCACGATGTCGTTCCGGATGGCGAATCGACACCCGCGTCTCGTCGCTCTGGCCTGGGCCGACCGCTCCAGAAGAAGGTGTAGCCGGCACCCATCTCCTCCAGTTGGCCTTGTTCAGAGAATCGGGTCTCGCTGAGTGCGGCGATGTCCACCTTGTAGCGCGCCAGTTCCCGGGTCACTAGCGCTGTCCTCCGTTCCGGTCGGTTGCTCTTCGGGTTGTCTAAAAGGGAACGAACATTCCAGGCTACCAGAGTGAGCGGACTCACCCTGCCAGTCTGATGACAACGAGTGGGGCGACGAGGAGGTGGAAAAGAAGACGGCGAAGGAGAAGAATACGCAGGGGAAGAGGAAGAAGAGATAGGATGAGGAGGTGAGCGAGTCTTGTTGTTGTTGTTGTTGTTGTTATTGTTGTTGGTTTTGTTGTTGTTTCGATTTTGATTGTTTCGATCATGTTTATGACATCTGCGGCCCTGGCTAGCCTGCAGACGGCGTGGTGCCCAGCAATTTTTAGGCCACCTTTTCTAGGCCCTTGTCCTCGTGAGGGCAGGCAGTGCCACCCCTGGATACGGCTGCCTATGTGCCCGTTTGGCTCGGCCGAACCCCACTATGGGGCCAAGACTTGTTGTTCGTAGTGGAGAACGACCGAATTTGCCGTAAGTCCGCGGTCTCCGTCGACGACGGTGGGCGTGTCTCAGCGAAGGCGATGCGGAGACCCATCCCTGCAGCAGCTGTCCAACGGCGTACCAGGCAGAGCCTCGTCTCGACGATGCCGGCGTAGTGTTTCATTCGACCATCCATCCAGCGGATGCCGCCGTGCCCTGTGCACTCGGCACAACGCGCACAAGGCCCCCTCACCTGGTTTAGCCCCCCGGTGGAGGCGGTTGCCCGGGGTTTGGCCGCCGGACAGAGCCCAGCTACGTGGAGCCACACATGAGAGTTGGGTGTCAGCAAATGGACGCCAGGCGTAGTCCGCACCTGCAAGCGAGCGACCACTACGGCCATCATGTGAATCCATCGCTGGACACTCCCACAACCCTACATGGAAGTGCCATACACCCACCATGTATTTATTAAAGCATATTTGTCCCTCTGTCAACTGCACGCACCCGAATCATGGGTACTCTGAACAGGCTACGCAAGTAGCGAGTGATGTTTACTGGCTGCTACCGAACTCTTAGCGTGAATGCGCACCTAACTCTAGCCTCATCCCATATTACGGTTATCTATCAGTTTCTGTCTTTAAGACGCTGTCAAACAAATAAATACTCTAAACCAACGCAGGAAATTGAGTAGTGGGACATTCTGCACACTGGTAAGGCGCGCTCACGGATAGTTTTTACGGAACTCACTCGTTCTGTTGTGTCATACGGGTTCTCTCTCCCGAGCTCAACCAGCAGCCGCACAGTGGCGCATGATATAGACAGTATGTTATTACCGACAAAGACATTGTATACCATTTTATGTTCCCAATCGAAACAGACAGGGCAATGGGCTCGTGACCCAGTGGTTAGAGGCGTAAACTTCTAACTAACAGGCCGCGAGTTTGAGCCTCAGTTGTTCCAAACTTCGAGGTTGGGTATTCCGCACACTTTCTGGGAATGGGTGGCTGCAAGCAAGTTTTACAGAGGAGATCCCTGAATTTCCTCTACTGGTGGAAACCACAACCAGAATTCTTCTCCTCACTCCGCAGCATTGAACTGAAGAGTCTTACATCGAACGGCAAGGTATGACCGAAGGCCATGTTTCTCTAGTATTCTGTGAACAGTACTCTTGAGGGTGTCGCACGTTTTAGAAAAAAACTGGAAACCCTGTTCTGGCCACCCGAATATGTGTTACACCACTTCATAAGCACTCACGTCGTCATGTGAGGTGCATTATCTTCCACTTCTCGGTGAGTTTTAACTTAACAGTTAATCATGTACTGAAAGGAGTACCGACAAACATAAGGAATACATGAATGGGCATTGGTGGTTCATCGGCTGTTATCAGCCAGCGATACACAACCCCAGAATTGGAACACCTGAGATTCGAACCCGGGATCCTCGGCCATTGAGTCAAACGCCCTACTAGTGAGCCACAGGTACTCAGTGAGGTGTTCCCGAAACCTGGGATTGGGCATGGCTGAATGATTACGGTCAACGAGTTAGAAATAACCATTCCAGTCTCCCTTGTTTATGTCGATACTCCTTTCAGCATGTATTCACGCTCGGTTTGCAAGTGCCTTCGTGGGCTCCAGAATGAGCCCGAAGGCACAACGGGACGAGCATGTCCCGTAAGCCGATCGGTGAACACAATAACCGTGAACAGTTAGATAGGGGATCACAAAATTTCATAGTCATTGAATTCTGCATGTTTCCTCATCTTTGCCTTGTTCAAATTTATTTAGCGAAAACAATGCCCTAGCACACCACTTGAACACAAAGACGCCTTAACCGGCCCCCGTAAGCCCATAAAAATACTCCAAAGGCAAGAGTATGGTTTATGACCGGGGTTCCTTACCCCGGGGAACAATTGTGCTAAAATAAAATAACTGGAGATATTTATTTGTGCGTGCAAGGGAGAAATAAAAAGACCTCGCGGTGGGTGTTGCGTGAGGATGGTCAAGTTGCTTTGAGGTAGTCATCGGAGTAAAAATACATAAATGCAATACCTTTTCGACAATGCCTGCAAAGAGGCATTACATTTATTCACTATTATTCTTAAATGGTAAAAAACAGTGTCCCTTTTTAATTGGTCACAGTAAGGAGGATAGAAATTTGTGATACCACAGAGTTCTTAGATGTTCAGCTCTTCTACTCAGCGCAAGTCCCCCATCATTACAAAATAATTCAAGCGAAAGTCACTGGTCCTGTTCCCACCCTGTTGTGGGGCCCACGGCGGACATCGTCAGAATCGACAGTAAGATTGTCAGTATTAGTAATTATGTGCAAATCATTTTTCGCCTCTGTCCCAAATAGCATCGCACTTCGACCCTCCACCAGGCGCTGCTGTCTGTCTACATTTGCGTATGCTGAGCGAGATCCTGACATCTGGCTGAGCTTGAGGGTGTGAAAGCTGCTCCCCGTCAGCCCACGTTGCGACGACAGCCTACCCCAGTTGAACACGGACGACAACCTGGTTAGTGGACAGGCTTTCGTTCGAACACGCATGCTCTCGCGCACATGAGCGCCTCGTGCGTGCATCCACCCCATTGGTCAGAGACTTTTGGGACGCAAGGTGCAAACGTTGTCTGCCGCTAGAAAGTACCGGATGGCATGGTTCGCACGGCGAGCAAAAGATTGTATTTGGGCTGAGCACACTTACCTGACGAAATTTCTGTAAAAACGGTTGTGCATATTTGCTACAACTAACGGATACATTAAAACGAAGGACTAGTCAACAAACAGTGGTCAGTGGGAAACAAGGATACCCATGTAAAAACAACTGAAGATGTTACTCTGTCGATTTTCACTGAGTTTCCTCTGCTATTTACTTTGGACTTTTCAAGCCGGACTACCAACTGTATTCTTTCATATCTGCCGCATATTACGCTGACCTTAGACCAACAAACATTCCTCCTACATTCCGCGTAAACGAAGAAGCTGCTTTGTTCATCCAAGGCGAACCACATAGTGGAATTATGATAATCATGTGGATACGTAAAGCAAATCTCGCTACACAATGCAGTCACATCCAGTAGGTAGTAGTCGATTACTGTCATGTTCATCGCATTGTCGGGTTGGTTAGAGAAGTCTCTGGGGTGAAAATTTGTTCTTGTTTCTACTCTGCGGACGTTCCTAATGAAATCTACCCTAGTAATGAATATCAACTTATTCCCGGGACACTTTAGAAGTCATCAACCACGGTCAGCAGGATTTCCTGGTAACCCACCTGTTTCTGTGAATCATACAGTGTCCTACCAGATCAATCTGGGTTTGGAATTCCTTGCCGCTGTTAACCTAGACTATTTGGCTTGTTCTCGTGTTTTTGAAAAGACGGATTCGGAGGTGTCCCATAAAGCCATTCCGGATTCGGAATTTGCGTTAACACTGCCGGCATGATTGAGGGGATTGACAGGTGGTCGAATTGATTGGTGTATGATGACATCTGGCCCTAAAACGGGCCACGCTGTTGATGCGCTGAACAATTCTTCGTCTTTCTGACCCGTTGTTGTGCTATTGGTAAAAACCCTGGGCAATTGTTTGTTGTAGACCATGGTATGTGGTGGTACGCCTAGATGCGAGTTACGCTGTGCCAACCATCTGCGCCCCCTCCCGCCTCCTGCCTTGTTGACTTGTAATGACGCCGACCCCGGGTGGGGAAGGAAGAGAGAGTGCAGCAGATACTGCGCAAGCCTATTATCATTATAAACTGATTCACTCGCACGTCACCGTCCCTGTCGTCAACCTGCTGTGAAGCCTGCGGTGAACATAGTTGAAAACGACAGTCCGACTGTTGTGCGAGGACAATTCCCCCGTGTTATAGTCGGACAAAAGACTCCTCAGTCAGAGAGAGGAGATCCGTTGCAATTCGTGACGCTGAGCGTGCAGTTACTTGTGAATAGAACGTCAAACATCTTACCTCTGAAGATTTTTGCTTAAGCTTGGACTCCTCGAGCATTGAAGAGCTTACAGTCGGATCACTACTTGCGGTCTATGCTTTTGTGTCCATCCAGATAAGCACCCATTAAAAAGGCATAGACTGGAAGATTAAAGAGGCACAGCGAAAACCTAAAGTCAGTCTATTGTTGGAAACGCGGGTCTGCATGCTAAAGTGGAAGTTTGTTAATATGCGTCCGATCTTTTCTGGATATCGAAATTATTTCCTAGTCTTTCCAAGTCGATTTCCGTTGGTCTCGCTGAAAGTCACTATGAGGTCGTCGCAAGTAATATGGATGCCTGTGAGCGTTTCCATGCGTTTGCTGTTCTGTTATAGGACACGAGGATCACATCAATGGTTTCGCAGTGCTTTTCGACTCCACACAATGTCCTCTATAGAAACTAGTCGTTGAAAGTCAGTAAGGCCAAGGCCAAGAATAGTTTTGACATATATGTTGGTAGTGACGGTTTGGCCACCCTGACAGCGAAGGAGAACTTCTGCACATC